GTCGAGGAGGACAGTGACAACATCCCAGCCCCAAGTCCGCATATTTTGAAACTCTCGCCCTCGCTGCTGCAGAACGAGGCTGATTTCTGGCCCACTGACCTCGGAAGGGAGTAAGGAACATGTGGTGGTTATGCTGAGTGAATGAGGGGAACGGAAGGAGGTGGAGAGGAGGAGGAATGAGAGGAAGAGAGAGAGAGGGAGGCAGAGGGAGGCCTCGGGATGGGCCGAGAATCGAGAGAATTTTTCGTTATTTCTTGAGATTGGTTGTGGCTGAGCGTGTCTTTTTATCGGTGTATTGCAGGCTGGATTATCGCTTTTCATGTTGTGTTATTGCCTCGCGTCTTGTAGCATTGTCCTAAGAATTATGACATCGCGTGACGTAAGATGTTGTGCTTCGTGAAGACCATTTTTTTGCTTTCGTTTTTTTTTTTTTTTTTTTATTAGAATCTTAATAAAAATCGTCTCATACTTTCCCTCTCTCTCTTTTTTATCCAAGTTTCTTTTTATTCCCACCCCAACGTATTGGACATTCGTTTCGTTCTCCACCAGTTTCAGTTAAAAGACCAGTTGAGAGTCAGAGAGAGAGAACCCAATGCAACTTCAAAAGCCTCGTTTTCTTGTTGATTTCTTGATTTCTTGTTGATTTCTTGATTTCTTGTTGATTTGTTGATTTCTTGTTGATTTGTTGATTAAACTCGTTGATTTCTGGTTGGAATTTTTGTTGAATTCTGGTGTCGTGTCGTTGCTCTTTGTTCCTGGGTTGTTCCGTACCGGTTCTTCTCGTTGTTTGCAGGTGGTTTTTAGACGATGCATTGCTTTGTTTGTTGTTGAGTTGGAAATCTTTTAAGGAAATTGGAATTGCCGAGACGTGGTCTTTCTAAGTAAGCTAGCTTGGTCGTTAGTTGGTATATATTTTTTTGAATTAGAAAGTATTGAGAATACATTTTTTTTTATTGAGGAATAAATATGAAAAGTTACCCATTGAGGAAATTACAAATCTAACAGTATGATTAACTCATGATGTTGGTAATTTCTCGGAATTTGACTTCGGAGTTTGAGGTAGCATAGTGAAATAGGTATAAATAGCATATGAAATTATAATATTAGTTATGCGAAAAGTGTATGTATAGTAGAGGTAAGCCCACAATGTTTAAGAGTGTCTGTAGCCTGGTATCAAGCAATATGAGAGTTTTTGGGTTTGAGTTGTAGCAGCGGTAAAAAAACTGTACGATTAGTATTCTGGCAGGAGAGAACATGTAGACTTCCCTTGTGATTCAGTATCTAATTAGGAGCCAGGTCAAGTTTTTGGGTTTTTGTTTTTTTAGCTCAAATGTACATGGTATTTTGATGGCCTTTACTCGAGTGTGAAACTTGGCATTGGTATTCAAATGCCTTCCATACCTCTTCTTTTTTTTTTTAAGAGAAAGTGAGAATATAATGAAGAAATGCATTGTAGGGAAATTTAAATCAGAATTATTAGTTTGATTTGCTGTTAAACAATCTTAACCTAATTGTGCAGGGTGATGGCCTATAACGTCATGGTAAAAAATTCCCAGTATAGCTACGGTTTCACATAGGCATATGGTACAAGGTAAATTTTGCCTATAATGGATTTAACAACAGAAAATAAGATGCTTTTCATCTATGGTATTGCCTTCACAGTAGAGCAGTATGGAATACTCTTGAATACATTTACAGGAAAATCTAATTTCACTATTACACACTCACTCATACATGAAAGAATAACATCAGACCTGAAGAAAATAGGTTGTGATAAGTGGAGAGTAAGTCCACGGCTATTTATTGGGGGTCCGTGGGCAGAGGCCCTGATAGGGAACTACAGCAGTCGGGTGGGGGTTTGTGGGTGAAGGTTTGGTACATGTGGTAATATTTGTGGATTCCTAGGAGTGGCAGGAGTAATGGGGACTTAGTCTGAGACGAGTGTGGTCACTTTGTAAAACAGTTAGAGATTCTTTTGCTTATTTATTTGCGACGGAAAACAACAAGATTCGCACATATAACACCGAGAATGATGTGAACAAGGAATGATAATTGTAAGATTAAGGGCCGCGTGAAACAAAAAAATGGCTATATTTTCAGACATCTGGTTATGTCTAATCACTTCTTGAGGCTGGGTCCTGGTGGCTAGGATGACAGTTGCGAGCCCAGCAGTAAACTGGGCAGTAACCCAGTTGCAGAGCACTGAGTAATATTGCAATCTGGTCTTGTAATCAAAATTTTGCCCTATCATTAATGGATTAATTCTGATAAAGATCAAATATTGAAATGTTAGTTACTTGTATATTGTGGAATGATTCACTCTCATTACTACTTTTCATGCGTGTGTTTCAATGAACTTGCAATCCAAGAGAAATTGTGTGTAATAAAAAGTATTTGAAAAATTTTGAAAATGCAGTATATACAAGTAAATTTACTGTCTGACTCACCGTCAAATCTGGGTACCCTTAATATGGGACCTAGATATTTTTTTACTATGCTT